TGTGTGTTTTGTATTATACATGACTTGGTTTTTGATAACAGATCACAGCAAATTATAAAGCAGTTATCCTCAACCAGGGGAAAATTCACTCTTTGATGATAGAAACATAAATGGCAGACGGTTAAGTCTATGCAGTTTAATTGCTAGGTTTTGTTTTGGATGTGGATATTCAATCCCAATCATCATCATCCGTGCCTAACCCAGAATTGGTAATTTAGCAACTTTGTCACAAGACTTAACAACTTCACACTAAGTATACTTTCATGCTGATCATTACCTCTGTCACCATATCTTTTGTGTGAATCTAGCAAGGATTTGTTTAGAAGCAGCAGCATCCTGAGAATAGCATGGTCAACATTTTTTTATTACTAATGTTATTATTATTATTATTATTATAATTATTATTATTTTCCCCTATCTTCTATCTGCTAGCTACATAGTTGTAAGGTAGTCAGGTCTGACCTTTGACAACTAAGCATCTAGAATTATTGCAGGAAAGACTGACAAATCCTTTGTCCATAAAGAACAGTCCAAAATTTGCCTGTAATAGCAGTGTTGATTAAAATGAAGTCCATTATAGTGAGGGCAGGCTATGCAAGAGTTGGTCAGAAAGTTTTATTAGTTCTAAAGACAACTTTTTCAATGACTATAAAGAGCTGCATCCTTTGGAACTACTTTTTGAAACCTGCCATGAAGCTCATGTTTGTTTTTTGGGAACATAGAGAAGTCATATGCGGGGGGTTGTGGAAAAAGTCCATATCTAAAAATCATAAGGAAGGGTTTTGATTTCAGTGCACCTGAATATTCTTGTGCCAACATATTATAACATATTCAAACATGAACCCTTTTAAGTCCATCTGAGTAAAACTGAGGGTCATGTGATCTGAACCATGTCAGAGCAGTTCTTTGTACATGTTCAACCGATGGAAAATTGTACCTTTCAATGATTTTTTTAAGTCTGGAAACAAAAAGGAGTCAGATGGGGCTAAATTGGGGCTCGATGGATGTCGGATGATTTCCCATTGAAATTCACATAGCACAGCTCTTGTCTGACGTGCGCCATGAGCGGGTGCATTGTCATGGTGGAAAGGAATGCATTGATGCATCTTTCCAGGGTGTTTTTCTGAGATTTTTTTGACAGTTTTCTCAAAATTCATTTATAATAAGCACATGTAATTGCTTTCTTGCTCTCGAGGAAGTCAACCAGCAAAATCCCCTCTTTCCTTTCCTCTTGAATGCTCACATTTTGCTTTGACTGGTCTAACACCTATCAAGCGAAAAGCTTGTTTATCCCCAAACTCTCCACCTGAAGTGTGTGTGTGCAGAACCCACGGAGATGTTGTATGTGTGTCTGCTACTGATTCAGTGGTTATTCATCTATACTTTTCAATCATGTTGCGGACAGTACCAATGTTTTCTTCACAAACTGACGTTGATGGCCTGCCACTGCGGGGCTCATCTTCAATTTCGTTTCTTCCACTTCTGAACTGACTTATCCATTTGTAGGTTGTTGATTACTTTGGGGGATTGTCACCATAAACTTACTTTAGAGCATCAGTGATTTGCCTATTCTCCCAACCATGAATTTAATGTTCATCCTGGCCTCAGTTCTGGTTTATTCCATGTTGCTTGAATGATGCCTGACTTCCAACTGGCAATCACTGGTGGATCAAGTGATTACTAGCATATGCACCTTTGGTGTGCAGACCTCCATCACATTAATTATAGCAAGATAAGACATGAGTAGGTTCCTTATTCAATAATAAACTATTAGCGAGCTGCCTGCTCTCTCTTGGTATAATGTACACTTATGGGTATAGTCTGCCAATTGTCACAGTTTATGCCTCAACACATTGCCTTTAGATTGGGCAATTTTCATTATGGATAGAGTAAAAGAGGAGATGAAGAGGGGGGAAGCATGCTTTTGGGCTAGGGGAAAACAAGGAATAGAGAAACAACGAAATGGGGTAGGGAGAGAACCCGACAGCGATGGTTAGATGGCAAATGTTACTCTCTGTTCAGTCTCAGTAAAGATACAACTGGCATCTCACCCTTGTATCTGGACTTCTCCAATACATCATGTTTCTTTTGAAGAAAATAAAGTGTTAAAGTAAAAGTTAAAGTAAAAATATATACATAAGTTTTAGAAATAAGAAAAATGTGTAAAAATATGATTAGAACAAAAAAAAACTTGAATTGGAGTACTCCAGAGTCTGGCTGAGTTTTTTGCTTTCTTGATATTGGATGCAATTTAGGCATTTTATCATTATTATTATCATTGTTATGCCAGTGCCCATCACTTGTTGGAGGATTTTGATACAGAAAAAAATCCAGAAAACTTATTTCTGGTTTCATTCAAGGTTATGAAATTCTTATATCAATTACAAGAGAAACCGGACACTAAATTTCATATCACCATTAGATATATCAACATATGTATCATAGAAACACTTTACATTTTATTATATGTAAGAATATCTATTAATTTTGTAATGGTTTTCAGGCAGCAGATAAAGTAGAAGAGAAGGAACAGGTGCAGGATAGTATGCCTGAAGAGGAGACAGAAACAAAAGATGAGCCTCCAAAAGAGGAAGAAATGGAAGATGACACAACCAAAGTTGAAGAGAAGGAAGAGGAGAAAGTAGAGGAGAAAGAGGAAAAAGAAGAAACAAAGCAAGAGACACCAGTAAAGGAAACACCCGAAACTCCCCCAAAAGAAGGTTAGTATTCTTGTGTTCCAGTGTGATTATTATAGAGCTTCTAAAGATTTTCCCTTTTATTTGTGTAGCAAACCCATTCAATTTGAATGTATGCCAGTGTGATATACAATCTATTACCCATAAACTGTGATGTGCATCACGTGATGATGAACACGTAACTGTAACACTTATTATATTCGATAGTTACTTATGGTCAAATGCTTAAATGTTACACATTTTTGTTCTTGGGGTGTGTTTTATATAAATAATAAGTAGTTTTCAGGTTTTGGTAGAGTTCTGTTCCTGAATCTGTATCATAGAATAAAATACTATGAAACGAATTATTCCCATAAGAAGAAGGGGGGGTTGCATTCCCCAATGCAGTTATTTTCACATATTTGGCTCTCAAATATATGAAAATAATTGAACTTTGTAGAATAAAGCCCCTTTTAGTAAATTATAGAAACTGTAGACTATATTCAATAATGCATGATACATATACTAAGCTCACTTAAAAGTGTAGGGGAACATTGGTGGCTGTTCATGGAGATGCCAAACTGGACGGGCAAGGGGAGCTGGTACTTTGTCCTTCCTTTTTTGGTACCTCTGTGCAAAAAGAGCTATGCAGTATAGCTTGTTTCCTGGTACTCTTCTTGTTTAGTTCTTCATAAGACTGCTTATGCATACTTGTTGGGGAACTCAAGCTAATTGTCTTCTTTATCTTCAAGCCGAGTGCTTGTGCAACATCATATTCAAAGAGCTATATAACTTTGATTTGTAGTGAGCAAGATACTCCTGTACTTTCTTCTCTCTATTTTCATCATTACTTGATATACTGTTGGAGCTAATTTTGAGGTTTATATCTCATAAGAGGAACAAATATGTTAAGCTGTGGATGAGCAAACATAGCAGAGGAGGAAGTAGGGGATGGGAAGGTGCCAGATGTGTTTAAAATCCTGAGTTACTTTGAAACACTTGTATAAAAAAAGCAAGAGCCATGGAAAAGGTCCCATGAAAACCACATGCAGCAAATGGGCACCACAGCCAACTTTGGGTGCAATAAAAGTGGGGGTTGGATGGTGAATCAGAGCCAAGTACTGAATGAGTTGGGGAGAGTAGGTGGGAGTCAGTTTATGTATTCATCTTACTTCCTGTGATATGTGATTTCTAATTGAATATGTAGTGCAGTAGTAGAATTCCAGATCTTTGTGCTATGAAGAGATTTTTTTAGTAAAGTATATTTACTTGTGTATTCACATTTATTTCGGCCTCTAACAATCCTGTCTTTTAGTAGCCTATGCAATCTTTTGCTAAGAATCTGGCCACTACTAACATTGACATCTTAAAGAGATGTGTGTGTGTTAAGTCTGCACTCTTGCCACTTTAACCCAGATCCACTGGAATGTTTACATGGCTGAGGCTGACACTTATCCTGCCTGGTGGTGTTGTCCCCCTGGCCTCAGACAAAAAAAGACAATGAGGCAATCCTATGCAAATGTGCATACCAAAGTGATGAGATCTTACTTAACCCAACACTGATGGGTAAAGAAAATAAATAAAAATTCTACACTGTGGAGATTAATGGCAGTGAGCAGACTTTGGGCACGGGAGTTTGCTACACCAAGCTGAACGTCCCACTCCAAAATGCTCCGGTGAGTCGCTGTGGTGTACAGCCATACTCTGCAGACCAAATGGTTTGTTATGACACTGCTAGACTTTGGGCGCGGGAGTTTGCTACACCAAGCTGAATGTCCCACTCCAAAATGCTCCGGTGAGTCGCTGTGGTGTACAGCCATACTCTGCAGACCAAATGGTTTGTTATGACACTGCTAGACTTTGGGCGCGGGAGTTTGCTACACCAAGCTGAACGTCCCACTCCAAAATGCTCCGGTGAGTCGCAGCGGTGTACAGCCATACTCTGCAGACCAAATGGTTTGTTATGACACTGCTAGACTTTGGGCGCGGGAGTTTGCTACACCAAGCTGAATGTCCCACTCCAAAATGCTCCGGTGAGTCGCTGTGGTGTACAGCCATACTCTGCAGACCAAATGGTTTGTTATGACACTGCTAGACTTTGGGCGCGGGAGTTTGCTACACCAAGCTGAACGTCCCACTCCAAAATGCTCCGGTGAGTCGCAGCGGTGTACAGCCATACTCTGCAGACCAATTGGTTTGTTATGACACTGCTAGGCATGTTCCGGTAGTATCAGTTAAGCAATGGTCATGTATGGGCGAGGATCCCTGGACACCCAGACTCTCTCTGTCAAATTCAGAGCAGGATTGGTCACACTATAAAGAACC